CGTGGGCACCGCCTGGCCTTGGCGCCATCGTCCCGGATGTCGTTGCCCTCGAGGTTGACGTGGGTGACGGTACTGTTGGATTTCAAGGCATCTGCGAGTGCCTATCAGAGGAAACGCGGGGTCGAAATTGCAAGCTGCAAAGACCCCGTGGGCACCGCCTGGCCTTGGCGCCCTCGTCGCCGATCTTGTTGTCACGGAGGTCGACGTGGGTGATCGTACAGTTGGACTTCAGTGCATCTGCGAGTGCCTCTCAGGGGAAACACGGGGTCGAAACTGCAAGCTGCAAAGACCCCGTGGGCACCGCCTGGCCTTGGCGCCCTGGTCTCCGATCTTGTTGACACCGAGGTTGACGTGGGTGACCGTACAGTTGGACTTCAAGGCATCTGCGAGTGCCTCTCAGAGGAAACCCCGGGCCGGGCTCATCGTCTCCGGTTTGGTTTCTATCGAAGTTACCGAAGTTATTTTAGGTGACTGCAAATTACATCCGAAATCATCAGAGCATTTGGAACGTCTGCGCCTCGCGACGGGACTCAAGCCACAAAGACATTAATTCTCGATTTTAGCGAATGTATGGCTGATTGTTGACTGCGAGCATACCGGCCGGGCACCGAGCCTGGCAGACCTCCGCCGTGATGTCCTGGTGGTCGAGTTCTAGACGGGTGGTGCCGCTGTTGGTCGTCAGCTGAGACGCGAGCGCCTGGCACGGGAACCACAGTGCATCTAAGCATGTCGGACTCTGCTCGGAGAACGGCACAGCAGTCCTTGATGCGCACTTTCCCCGTCCAAGCCTCGGCAGAGCTCCGCTAAGGCTGGTTGGGGAAGGCTCGTTTGCGGCTCTGACAGTGCAGTCCTGCCGTCCTGCCCCGCCCACAGGCCACCGTCTCATGTGGAATCGTTTTTTGTCGGGAATAGTCAACCTGCCCCACGAAGAGTACTTTTAGCCATCCTCCGGCAGGCAGCAGATGCCCTCCAGAAGAACCAAGCACTTGCAATCAGCGATGCACGTCAGTGTATAAACACATCGTGACCTCATCGCTGGGACCCACCCAGCAAAGGCCAACCGGCACGCAGTGTGCAACAGAGATTCGGGTCACTACTCCCTCAAACATCAGCTGCTCTGCTCTCTGCCTAGGCAAAGCGGCACGCAGGCCCGGCCAGAACCTGCAAGGCCTCGGCCACCTCGCCCCGGCTGATGCGCACTCCAAGGTTTCTGCCTCTTGCGTGGGTTTGTAGACCAGTTCCGGCAAGAGCCTGCTGTCTCCGGAGTTCCGGAGGTGCTGAAGATCCGTGTGTCGTAGACCCGGGCGCACGATGCACACAACAAAGAATCAGGAACAATATGCAGGACCCTGCGATTTGGAGGATTCTATCGCCGCTAGGGCTATAGGGCCCCGACCTGGGACTTCGTTG